TCCATTTTAGTGATAACTAACTCTTACATTCCGCGTTTTTCAGATGCTTGCAGCAACGCACAGAACGTCTCAGGGAGTAAAGGGTGCTTGGATTGAGTCAACCTGAAGTTGTGGCTGTGGAGTACGACTTCCTCTGAGCTTCAGCATTTTAATATCCAAAACTGGTATTTTAAAATTTGTTTGGTTTTTTTATCATGTGTGACAAAAGCTCGTATTACCCCCTGAAGTTCATGGCGGTGTAGAGGAGGCATTGAGAGTAAAACATCCTTGAAATGCGTGGTTGATGAAGGAATTTGATCAAGGTGAGAAACAAACTTAATGGTTGTATTTCTTAAGTCCCTTATTTCTGGAGAGAACACATCTGTTGTTGACAAGAAAATCATGACAATGGCCTCCAGGAGTAAGGTCATAAAATTTCTCTGGCAATCATTGCCTTTAGCTAGGGCCTGTAACACTACCATGAAACTTAAACATTCACTGGCAATGTTTGTCGACTCTTTCGTTATAGTATTCTTTAACATTTTGTGGATTAATGTGAAAATATCAGTAATTAGCTCCCCAGCAAGAAACATTAAGAATGAGTTATCTTTTGTATTCACACCTCTTTGAATCCTGATTTTAAGAAATTGCACACCTATAACTTGGACTTGCATACTGGAATCACTTAGTACAGTTTGGAAACAACAAATGCAATATCTCATTGCAATAACACTGATGAATTTTCTTGCTTCACAATTGTCAGCATATTTGCTTTTAAGAGCCAGTTTCACAATTAATATGATCTGTTCAAGAGAAAATGCAAGCTTTGCATGTATTAGTTTCCGTTGGTTTAAACTCTTAACCTCCTGCAAATGGAATTCCTCAATGCCATACTTAGTCAAAGCAATAATAACACTTAGACAAGTTTCAAACATTTCTCTCAAAGGGAGAATGCTATCATCTAGTACAACCTCATCATTAATTATTCTCTTTAACAAAAGTATTGTACAGTTGACCATGTTAATGGATTCTGATAAGTAAACCTCAGCTGAAGCTCCTTAACAAATTCACTAATCCAACTTGAACTCCTTGCAAGAATTAATGCACTTGCAACGAGGTTTTGAACTCTCGATTAAATTGTTAATAGGCATATGCACTTTGCGCTTATCCTCATATGGAACGCTTTGATGAGTCTTAATCTCCTTCAAAACGAAAAGACCCGTATAATCAAATATTTGGTAATGATGAACCAGGTACATAAAAGGATGTAACTTTGTAATATATGTCGCCACGAAAATCAAGACCGCCCTTAAAGCCCAATCCTCTCCCCGTTCGAACTGAAATAGTTGTTTCTGCACAAATTTGTTAGTCATAAAACATAAATATTAAATTAAGGTCAAATGACAAAAGAAAATGCGTGAAAATAGGTGGGATCTTACGGTAAAAAATAAGGGTGTGACAGTATGCTGCAGTCGACACAGCTTCTCCCAATAATTTTTGGGTAAATGCTTGCCTTTCAACATATTTCTTACCATATTCATGATTGTTCTATTTTTCCTTTATGCAGTTCCATTTTGCTATGGAGTGTAGGTTGATACCACCTCATGCACAATCCCTTCTTTCTCACATAATGCACCAAAATATTTTGACACATACTCTTTACCACCATCAGTCCTCATAATCTTTAGCCTTCGACCACTTTGTCTTTCGACCATAAATTTAAATTTGGCAAATACCCCGATCATTTCACTTTTCTTCTTGATCAGGTAAGTCCATAATTTTTGACTGAAATCATCTATGAAAATGACAAAGTATATGTTACCTTCAACCAAATCCACCTAGATAAGACTACATACATCTGAGTATATGACTTCAAGAATTGCCTTCGACTTGCTTCTTGCATCCTTGCCAAAGTTGTTCTTGTGTTGCTTCGCCTCAACGTATTCTTCACATACTTCACTTGGAAATGTCGATTTCTTGTAATCCTGAAACCATATCTCTTCTCTTCAAATCTCTGATGTCTTTGAAATTGACATGGTCAAGTCTATAATGCCATATTCATTTATCTCTTCTGGATGCAGTTGCAAGGCACTTATGCTCAATCACATTAAGTTTAATCTTGAAGGTTCTATTCTGAGACATTGGATCCTTCAAGATCAACCTTCCATTTGAGTCGAGAACTTTCATCATCTTGTATTCAATTGACACCTTATAGTTCTTTTCGACCAACTACCCCATGCCGAGCAAATTACTCTTCATGCCTGGTATGTACAATACATTGGAAGTTTCTGACCTTTTTCCATCTTTCTTCATAATCAGAACATCACCAATACCTTCAGCTGCTAAAGTATCGTCATTTGCAAATTCCACCATGTTCTTTATTGAGGGCTTTATGTTGACAAACCAATATTTCCTACCAATCATGTGTGATGAACATCCCAAGTCCAAGTACCATTGGTCCCGAAATCTTTCTTCATCTTTTGTTGTGACCATCGACAACATCTATTCTTCTTCATGTTTCGGTAGCTTTGGATTAGTTTCTTGATTCTTCTACTTTTCAGGATAATCACTAAAATAATGACCATACTTCTGATAATTGTAACACTGAGTGTGAATTTTGTCAAGTTTTCGACCATCACCTCTTCCTCTACCTGCAACACCACCTTTTTGGTTGCATTGGTTCCATGGTTTTCTCTGATTCAACTAGTTTCCTTTTTGTTGATTTTGACCAGTTGAATTGTTGTAGCCTCTTATACTTTTGTTGCCATTCCAACTTCTTTTGCCTTTCTTTTATTTTGTTGATTGCGTTTGCAAAGCCATATCACTCTTCGAATTTTCTGTAGCTCTTTCAGCCATCATTTGTTCATGAGATTCAAGAGTCCCTTAAAGCTCTTCCTTTGTCAATGTTGACAAATATTTCGACTCTTTTATGACTACTACCACATGGTCGAATTTTAGAACCAATGACCTCAAGATATTTGCAACAACTGATCTTGATGTCAACACTTCTCCATGTACGCTGATTTGGTTCACCAATTTAGTAACCCTAGTGACAAAATCAATTATGCTTACACTTTCTTTCATCTGAAGCAATTCATACATGCTTTGTAAGTTTGTAACCTTACCTCTTTCACCTTCTCTGCGTCTCCAAACGATTTCTCCAAGATTTCTCATGCTTCTTTTGCTGATTCTACATCACTAACCTTTTCAAAATTGTCCGGATCAACACATTGATGAATTATAAAAAGAGCTTTATAATCTTTCTTTTTCAATTTTTTGTATGCAACCTTATCTTGATTTGATGTGTTTTCTACAAGTGGTGTTCCTTCTTCCTTCACAAGATCCCAAAGATCTTGATAACAGAAAATCATCTTCATCTTCTTGTACTAATTCTCATAATTATTGTTCTTGAGAATTAGAAGACTCGTTGAAAAATGTCCTTTTGGATGATTCATTGCCATCATGACTTTCTTCCCACGAATCGCTCGACCAGTGCTCTAGATATCAGATGTTGGAATTAACCCAAGACTTTGAGTAATTCTGAACCAATCTTGATGAACAAGATTTAATCAACCGATAAAAATCCTTTGTTCTTCACTCTTCACTCAAGTGAAACCACCTTGATTGCAAGAATGATTCTACGCAACAATTGTTAATGGAAGAAGAAAAAAATTTAATAAGAAAGAAAGTTAGGGCTTGACAAAATATGAAAGAAGATGATGATTTTGCAGACTAACTCTCTGCTTATAAACTGTGGAAAATTCTTATTCACTTTGCGACTATAAAATTCTATGAATTCATGTTATTACAAGAATAGAGGTTACTCTCCCTATTTATAACTTTAGGTTTAGATTGTTGCTTAAGCCAAAGCCCAAAATATACAAAAACCCAAAATTTCTATGTTGGTCTAAGTTGAAATCCTGTGTCAAACAACTTGCTTCGATACTTTAATATCTAACATAACTCGACACACACTACACTAGGCTAGTTCCGACACATCCTTGTTTCTATCGAGCTACACCTGCTTCGATACAAGGAATTACATTCTAAACACGCATGCCAATTTTTATATATAGGCGATTAAAGTTGCCCTGTGTTCCTTACCGACGCGAGTACCACTTGATTAAATCTTACGGTAAACAATATCACACGAGAAAGGTTGAGTGTTTGCTTCTTAGTCAAGAGTACACTTGATCTTCGACAATCTTAAATTGAACTCTTCTATGAAAGAGCATATTCATCTTTCAGCCCTATTGCTTACCTAAAACAAAGTTGTTTCTTGATATATGTCAATTTTTTTTGTTTGTGTTAATGAAAAATAAAATTTTAAAAGATGTATGATTTTTTTTGTCTTTTCATCCTAAATTATAAGACATTTTGAATATTTTATCCGAATCAAAAAAACATTATTATTGTTGTATGGATAAGGAAAAAATCTATGATTTTAAAAGAAATGCTATTCATTAATTATGTTAAAAAACAAAATTAAAATAATAATAAAAAAGGAGAAATAAATGTCGGATGATATATTAGAAAAAGAAATTAATTAACATTATATTGGAATTTTAAACTAAGATAATTTTTTTTTTCTTCAAAACGATTTATAATTTAGGGGAGATGTTGTATTTTATCAGAAATGATTGAAATTTTGAAAAAAAGTCGTACTATATTTAATTCGATCACTCAGCCTAATTTTCTAGCAGTACATGCGAGAAATTAGTCTCAGTTATCGTAAGAATCAAAATTTGCGAACAAGCACCGTCGCTTGTTCCGAGAGACAGTAACATACTCCGGTAGCACCGTCTATCATATTTTTTTCGGTCGAAAGTCGAACCCGTTTATTATCTGAACCGACCCGCTTTCAATCTCTTCTATAAAAGCCTCTTTTACATCCCCAATTTCTCATCCTTCATTTCTTTTGTACGCAAACCCGATCCTTGTTTCCACCAATTCACAATTTTTACAATCACATCACAATTTTCGATTCCTTCTCCTCCACAGCGTAACCGTCGCAATTCACCATGGGTTACGAAGACAATCCGTACGTTTTCCCCCTTTCTCTCTGGAAATTTTTGTTTTAGGGTATTGGTTTTCGAGTCGATTTGATTTAATTTGCTTTGGTTTTGCATTTTAGGTATCGTGACGAGGATGGCGAACCGTTGATGGACTATGACGATGTACAATCTGACGGCGAAGCGACACCGGAGCCGCAACAGCTTGACGATTTTGAGGAGGAAGATGTTGACGATTGGCGTGGCCGAGAGAGGTCACAAACTCCGGTGCATGATACTGATTCGTCGAAATCGAAGCCGAGGAAGAGGCTGATTAAGAAGAGCGACACCGTGAAACACACAGGGAAACTGTCTGTTGCACCGGAACTTGAAGATGAGTTGGAGGAGGAAGGTTATCCGGGGATGGCTGATGAGGAAGAAGGGAGGAAGAGGAAGAAAGGGAAGGATATTGGATCTGGGAAGAAGGAAAAGAGGCTGAAAGGGGAAAAGAGGTTTGGTGAAAGTAGCGGTGGAAAGAGTGGGTCCAGATTTGGGGGTTCTAAGAAAGGGTTTGCTGGTAAGGCTGGGAATGATCATGATGGTGAAGTTAAGGAGATGTGGGATACAATTGCTGGAGGGGATTCTGAGGTATTGTTTTCTTTCTGATTTTCCATAATCAATTCATGATCCAATTTTAATTTTATTGACCGTGTTACTTATCAATCTAATAGTTAGATGAAGAGTTTTAGATCATTGTTACTTCAAATTGTATATTTGAGAGGTTGGGCTTATTAGTATATGTGCATGAGTATAGTGGTTGCTTTACTTCTTAATGATGTGAACTTTATGGAAATCCTTTCCCCCTTTTCCTTGATTGATCATTATTAGTTATGTTTTCTAATTGAGGCACAATGCCCTTCTTTCTTTTGATGCTGGTGATAGTCAGGAGTACACTTTTGGTTGTGAATTGTATTTGATGCTAGTTTTCGTGTTTCCTTTGTCAAGGATGATCACGAGGGTAACAGGAATATGGATGATGACAACTTTATAGATGACACTGGAGTAGAACCTGCTTTATATGGTTATGATGAACCAAGATCTCCCGGCGATGCTCCTCAGGTTGACACTTTATTCCCTTAAATTAAATCCACTTTGTTTGATAATATTGTCATCACAAGCTCTTCAACTCAGCTGTAGAACGTTTGAAAATGAAATATGTAATGGTTGTTTTTTGAGGTTAATCTTTCTCATTTATAGTTTAATCATATTGTTTTTGCACAAAATCAATGATAGAATTTCTTGCAATGTTTATCAAAAGCTTTTCTGATACCTTTTCTCTGTTATGTGATTTTCTAGGCAGAGGAAGGTGAGGAGGATGATGAAGTTAAGGATCTTTTCAAAGTGGGTAGGAAAAAGAAGAAGAATGAGAGGAGTCCTGCAGAAATTGCTTTATTAGTTGAGAATGTCATGGCTGAGCTTGAGATTACAGCTGAAGAGGATGCTGAACTTAATAGACAGTTTAAGCCTGCTATTAATAAACTCAAGAAGTTGCCTCTTCTCCAAGAAGTCCTCTCAAAGTAAGCTGTTGATTGCCTGCTATTTTAGATTGGCTGTTTGTTAATCTTGTATTTTTTTTCCTTATTTAAGTTACTTTTCACCTACTATTTCACAGGAAACAGCTTCAACTCGAGTTTTTAGATCATGGAGTGCTAACTTTATTGAAGAATTGGCTTGAGCCACTTCCTGATGGAAGTCTGCCAAATATTAACATAAGGACAGCAATTTTGAAGATTTTGAATGATGTAACGAGTTGATACCATTATAATGATTTAGTTGCAATTAATTTTTTTTTTTTACAACCAAGATTATTAATTTCGCATTGTACTCATCTTTTTGTTATGCAGTTTCCCATAGACCTAGAGCAGTTTGATAGAAGAGAACAGCTGAAGAGGAGCGGTCTTGGAAAGGTGGGTTTCTATTGATTTGATGATGTGAACAAACCAATAGAGAAGTGTCTACATGTAGCCTTTTATTTGAATTTGGAAGTAATATCTTAGACTGATATTTTCGTTGTTTTGTCAGGTGATTATGTTTTTATCAAGATCTGATGAAGAAATCAATGTAAATAGGAAATTAGCCAAAGATTTGGTTGATAAATGGGTAAGGAGAAGATATTACTTAATGCTTTCTCTTTCATTATCTTTTATCTAATTTTCAAAGCTGTCCGGTTCCCTTCACGTGTTCATAATTAGTCAGATTTATATTTTTGGTATCATCGTTGTGATTTCAGAGCCGACCTATTTTTAATAAGAGTACTCGGTTTGAAGACATGCGTAATACTGAGGATGATAGGGCTCCATACAGGAGGCCATCTGTTAAAAAGTATGCTTATATCTTTCTTTTTTTATTGCATGGTCCAGGCATTATTAGATTAGATTTACTTATTGCATTAATAACAAGTTGGATTTATATAGTTATCTTGAACTTTAACAGGCCATCAAATAAAGCTGCAGGGATGGCATCTAGAGATGGCGATCATGATTTGGATCTTTCACAGTAGGGATCGAATGATGTTAATAAACTCCTTTGTTCAGTTTCTCTTTAGGAATCACTAATTTATGTTTGGATGGTAAATTTCTAATTGTAATGCAGGCCTAGGGCTGGACAGTCGTCTTCCAGGCAACATGCATCAAGGCCTGAAGCAACACCTTTGGATTTTGTGATCCGCCCCCAATCTAAAATCGACCCTGATGAAATTAGAGCACGTGCGAAACAAGGTCCACAAGACCAGCATCGAATGAAGGTTGGTTTTTTTTTTCTTCTTTAAAATTCTGGTTTTTTATGCAAGTGTGCATGTAAACAAAACATATTAGTAGTAGACTTTGACTAAGATTGATTTGTTAACTACACAGATGAATAAGAAATTGCAGCAGTTGAGAGCACCAAAAAAGAAGCAGCTTCAGGCTACAAAACTGAGTGTAGAAGGTCGTGGTATGGTCAAATACTTATAAATGTGGCACCGATACTGGATGGATTTGTTTGTTGTACTGAAGAATTTGATGGGGGATGTCATCAAAATACATTCTCCTCTACTGCATGTATTGTGTATTCTTGAATTGGAAAAGTGAAGTCATAAAACATTGGGCGATTGTTTACAATTTTGTGTTTGTTATTTCTTGTCTCAAATAATGAAAGGTTTGTCATCAATTTTTGATGTAATGAAAATGTGGATTCTGCATACGTTATTGGTAGAAGTAAAACGTGATTGAATCTCATCATCATTTTTTACAGGAAAAAAACGTGGTTAAGCTAGATTATTTGGGCTTTCAAATATTGTAATATAATGTTTTGTACTAACAAATTAATTACTTTCACAGATGTTTCTGAGATTAAGTGGTTGCCATAAATCCTAGAAATTGAGTAAGATGAAAATTGTTTTAACATTTGAAATAGGTTGGATAAAAACGAAACGTTTGATACACAGGGGATCAAATAAAATATAAACACGAGGGACCAAATAAAATATAATTTTGGAAGATTCAACCACACAAAGGTTTTAGATTCTAAAGCACGTGAATTAGCATTTGCTATCATTATACATGTATGATATGATATATCTGTTGATGAGTATGGTAGCTCTTAATTAATTAGCTAAGTTTCAATTAGATAATACTGTGGACTTGAAAATCTCAAGGAAGAGTCGCAACTGTGAAGGTACAAGAACAATAACAGGAACACTGGCAAATGACATTGCTGTTATTTAACTCCCTGATGTCCCTTTAAGAGCATAGCAAGTGAAGCACAGAAGGCAACTATCATAGACACCACAGACAAGAAAAGAGCAATAAGCCCGAAGAGTAGCCTTAGCGGTAATGACTTGAGAAAATCCTTTTCTGCATAACGAGCGGTGAGAATTCCAATGAAGAGAAGTACTGAAGTGGAAGAAGTGAAAAGAGATATTGCATCAGCTATGATGAATATATTGAAAGTGTAGTCATGCAAAAAGAGTGGAACTCCACTGTCTTGATTGTTTCCACCAGGGACAGTGAAAGCTGCAGCAAACATGATGGTTGTGATGAGTGTTGCTACAAGTGTAAATGAACCTGCTGTGTCTTTTGCCCATTTTTCTCCGGCTTTTACAAGTTCCTTGTGGCTTTCTGTAAATATCTCACGAGGCTTCTTATCGTCTGAATTTTTAGCTTCCTTACACTTTGGATGCACAATTCCTTCCACAGCCTGCACCAAAAACTTCATGTATTCAATCAATCAAAGAATGGCAAACTATATAAATAGTGAAACTCACATGAATCAATCACCTTAAACCATAGAATTTCTCTTTGCATCTGCATAGCAGGACCAGATCTACGATCAAGATCAGAGGAAGGTCCTAAATATCCTGCCAAGTGCAACATGGAATTGCCAAAAACGTCTACGCGACATTTAACTATCTCCTTCCGTCCATTTACAGTTCCATCATGTATGAGTTGGAAAACAGCTTTTCTACGATTAAGAACTGCATGTGAAAATATTCCTCTTTTATTTTTATCAATAGCCCATAACAGGTCAGGGTTACCCTTCCTCATTGCATTTATGAACTCAAGAATTCCATGCTTAGCTGCTTGCAACATTGCGTCGTAAGCTGAAGCATCAATCAGTTCTGATTCCTTACAATCTTGAATTCTTTGGTACAAGCAGTTCAATATTTCAAGCACTAGTAGGTGGGTCATTTTCTTATTATATATTTCCCTTATTCCTGATAGAAACATTTGGAGGTAAGTAATTACACTGCTCACAAGGGCAAGGAACTGTAAATTTTGATTGCAAAAATTTCAATGGACGAGGGATGAAAGAAAGAATAAAGACGAGTGATTTTCATACCAGACAATTTTAATAGTATGGATTTCTGAAATGACACGTGAAAATATATAAGTAGTCGACCTGGAAAAATGTGAATAAGAAAAATACCAGACAATTTTTTGTTATAGCAGATAACAAAAAATACTAGCTAAACAACTTCAACCTTAAAAGAATTGGATTATCAAAAAGTACCTAAAAGCTTTATTGACGATATACTCAATATCCATCCACACAATCTTCCTGATAAAGAAGAAAAGAAGAATAATTAATCTTTACAATTTTCGATTCGAATATAGAAAATAAAATTCCATTATTCCATACCCGTGAAAGAAGTTTTATGTTGTTTTTCTTCTTTAGCAAGATTTGGCAGACTCACATTTATACTGTATAAGTCATGTATTTCTCTTTCTGGTGACCCTCCATGACGTGACAGACTCCGGCTCGAGGCTCTTGTACCAGGTCATGGCGCCCTTTCTGAGCGTGGTGGGGAAGAGCCGACATTTGATGGCTCCCCTGACGTTGCGGTAATCGAGCATGGCCTCGATGTCCTCCAAGTGATCTTCAGGGTCGGACATCCCGTCGTAGGTTGACAGGACCAGAGGTTTTTCCATCCCGTGAGGGATGGGAGCCGCCATAATCTCTCTGGACAGTGGTACCCTGTAGTCTTCCTCGTCACTCAGGATGGGGGAGCGAGGGGGAGTAGGGTCACGCCGAGGAGTGTTTTAGATAGTCACTCTTGGCTGGCGAATTGGAGGCTCTGGCCTGGTATTCCTGGTTTCTCGGCGCTTCTCTTTCCGGGGAGGTGATCTAACGCGCTTCCGGGGGCCACTGGTTGGGACCTTTCCAGTTCTGGACGGCGGCTCTGTGTCCTCGGCGAGGGGCTTCTTGAATTCCCACGCAGGTCTTCCCGCGGAGGGGGCCTGGGCAGGGCTCTGCTCTCCAGGGTACCAATACGCTCGCTTTGGATTGCGAGCATTTGGTTCGTCTGGTTGATAGCTACGAAAAGTGCTACCACCGTTGGGTCAGCTCCGACCAGGACAGGGATCGGTTGGAAGACCGGCGGATTCCTCGGTTGATGTTCGGGGTGCGGCTCCACTTCCTCGGAAGATGGGGAAGTGGTGTGCCCGTCCCTCTCGTCAGTCTCGAAGGCCTGGGAAGTACCTTCGGGCCCATTGTTGCTGGGCATGATGGACAAATCAGGGATAACGTCGTTTTGGTGTGGGCTGCTCATGATGAGCGATGTTCGTTGATTGGAAAGCTTTGGTTCTATGCTCTGATTGAACAGGGAAGCTTTTGGTTTCCCACAGATGGAGCCACTGATCTTACCTGATCAGGAGGATTTGCAGCCGGCCACGTAACGACGGTATGGACTTGGAACAACGTCTCTTCGGAGAAAGTGGGGGGGGGGGGGGTGTACCTGCAAGGCACTCCGATGCCAAAGTCAGAATTTAGACAAGAGTGAGAGCAAGAACAGAAAGGTTAGAAGAAGTGTGTACCTGACCCTCTTGTGGAAGAGGGTATTTATAGAGAGACCCCAGCGCTGGGCCAACGGTCATTTGAGTTGCGTTGGATGGCCAGGCCCAATCCAAATGGCTTCTAGGGCTTACGTGGCGTAGTGAAGGCCGAAATGTGGTCTTCGCCCTAGTCCAACTGTTATGTGGTCTCCGGAAGGTGGGTTTGACCTATTCTTTCGGAGATGGGCAGTTGGTTGGTAACGTGTCCCCGCGGAGGGGTGCACGTGGAGAACGTGTGTGAGGCACGTTTGCTCTGGTCGGAGGATGTGTATCCTGCTCGGCGGATACATGTGCTGTTTGCGACGGGCAGGCGAAAGGCGAGATGTCCCCGCGGAGGGGAATCCGAGGAGAGCGAGCAGGAGACATGGTTCTCCTGCCCGGCTCCCTGCGCTTCGCTAGCTGGTTCTACTTGTAGGAGTATCAACGTGCCCAGCTGATTGAGGGATGTGTGTCCGGGGCCATCTTGGGCTGTGTCGCCAGTATCGGACTGGGTCTGGTTGACTAAGTCGGGGCCCAGTCCGGAACAATAATGTTAGGGCGGCCTTTTTTTTTCCTTCTCATATTTTCGTTGTTCCAAATTATATCCCCTTGATATGTAGGCATATATTTCTCTTTTTCTACCATAGGAAAGTTATTGTTGTATATATTGAATATGCTTACGATTTTGTAAATGTATGATAGCTATAAGAAAGAATTTTGGAGAGCACTTGAACATGCCCCAATGACATGGGAGCAAGGCATACAGAAAACTTGAAACTTTCTACAGTAGCACAAACCTCTATCTAGCTCGAATTGATAGTATCCCTTTAACGTCCCATCATTTGGTCCATTGTCTCCTCTACACTAAAACTCTATCTATGACGGCCAAATCTTGTAACTACATGTGTACTAGCTTTGATAGTTTCATCCTTCATAACTTTCCTTCAACTTTCACTAAACAGTTGCCCTGATTGCAACACTGAACTCTATTTTTTGCCTCTGATTGCAAACAGTGATCCCAACCTAAAATAGGTTGCTCTCACCAACGCGTTTATGACTAGTTTTCTAATGCCTTTGAAATCATAGTTCATCGACTCCACAAGGATTGTTGTCACATGGCCTCATCGTCGACCCTCATCAGATGCCCTAGTCCCTTCTCTACTAGAATACTATCGACCTACCTTAATGCATCCGCATTTGACAATCTAATTTTCTCGCGGTAGTGTCTAAATGATGATTAATTTAAATCATAGGGTGTCTTTGATATCCTCACTAGTGCATGAAGAAAATTTTACACCCGTTTTTTATATACATATTACATTTGTTATGAACGGGTATAAATTTAATGGAAGAGAAATATAAGACGAATTTACACTCATTTTAAAACGGGTATTAAAATGGGTATGTTATATCCTATTTTATATAAAAATAGGTGTAAACTATCACATATATACATTGAATTTTAACGAATTTATATCTTATTTTAGATATAACAGGTGTAAAAAGACGATATATTACACCCTATTTTAGATTTAAAAAAACATATGTAAATTGATAGACATTTACATTGAATATTAAGAGCTTTACACCTTATTTAAATTAAAATGGGTGTAAACTCTCTCTCTCTCACACACACACACACACACACACACACACACACA